ATCAGGCATAACATTATGACCACCTTCCTAATATTGTGTTGGTCCCCTCTTTGCTGCCAAAACAGCCCTGACCCGTCGAGGCAGGGACTCCACTAGACCCCTGAAGGTGTGCTGTGGTATCTGGCACCAAGATGTTAGCAGCAGATCCTTTAAGTCCTGTAAGATGTGAGGAGGGGCCTCCATGGATCAGACTTGTTTGTTCAGCACATCCCACAGATGCTCGATTGGATTGAGATCTAGGGAATTTGGAGGCCAAGTCAACACCTCAAACTCGTTGTTGTGCTCCTCAAACCATTCCTGAACCATTTTTGCTTTCTGGCAGGGTGCATTATCCCACTAAAAGAGGCCACAGCCACCAGGGAATACTGTTTCCATGAAAGGGTGTGCATGGTCTGCAACAATGCTTAGGTAGGTGGTGGTCAAAATAACATCCACATGGATGGCAGAACCCAAGGTTTCCCAGCAGAACATTGCCCAAAGCATCACACTGCCTCACAGACCAGGAACACCCCACATGAACTGCAGTTCTGGAGATGCTCTGACCCAGTCGTCTAGCCATGGCCCTTGTCAAACTCGCACAAATCCTTATGCTTGCCCATTTCTCCTGCTTCTAACACATCAACTTTGAGGACAAAACATTCACTTGCTGCCTAATATATGCCACCCACTAACAGGTGCCATTAAGAAGAGACTTCACTTCACCTGTCAATGGTCATTATGTTATGCCTGATCGGTGTATACATATACTGTACACTACCATTAAAAGTGTCAGTATAAATCTAACAAAAGATTTCTATTTCAAATAAAAGCTGTTCTTTTGAACGTTTTACTTGTCAACGAATCTTGAAAACAATTACCACAGTTTCCACAAAAAAAAAAAGAAAAAAAAAAAAAGATTAAGCAGCATTTTCAACAGTGATAAGAAATGTTTCTGGAGCAGCAAATCAACATCATGTGTTGATGATCTGACAATCATGTGACACTGAAGACTGCAGTAATGATGCTGAAAATTCAGCTTTGCATCACAGGAATAAATGACATTTTACATAAAAACAATAGAAAACAGTTTTGTGGAATTTTATTTTTTTTTTAATTGTGAAATTGTAATAATATTTCACTATATACACACACACACAGTTTCAACCAGCTATTTAATATTTCTACCAGCTAATAAGAGAATGTTAGAATAGAGAGAGTAAAATGAGAAAAGAGGAAACAGACAGACAGGCTAACAGAAAAACAAAAAGACAGAGAGACAGATTGAGAGATAGAGTGTTGTATGGTGAACCACAAGCAGTGGGAAACTAATGAGCAATTGATAGACTTTCAGACGTCTAACTGAGCAAACTCTGTTGGGTTTCTCTCTCAGAATATATCTGGGCTAAAAATGCCCTTAACAGCAGTGAAAACTGAACAGCAGAACTACAAATGACATCCTATTCAATAGTTTTTCCACAGCTTTCAGAAACATACAAATACACAATGATTAGGTGCACAGGTTCTTTTCATGGCTAAAATATTGATGTGAGCCGCATGCTACACTTAAAAGTGTTTTGATGCCTTGCTAATGAGAGATGCACTGGTGATTATCCACTTAGAAATGGTGAAGGTCACAAGTTATAATTTTGCGATGGAGTTGTACAATATTCTGTGTGAATGTGGGACAAAGTAGCAGAAAAAAAGTCTGAAGAAACAATCTCTCTCTCTCTTTATATATACAGTATATGTGTGTGTGTGTGTGTGTGTACATACAGTACACATTTGAAAAAACAGAAGCAATAGAGTGACAGGACAGTACCCCCAAAAATGAAAATACAGTCATCAAAAATCTTGCAAACTGCCCTGAAACTGATCAAGTGTCACCCAGAGGCTGACAGACACTAAAAGTGAGTGGGACATAACTCTTTATGACAACACAAGCAGCATGAATCTAGCAATGGACATAAGCATGCTTTCATTTTTCATGCATATCATCTCAGTTGCGAGGATCTTCTCTCCACTCAAACTTGCTGTCCAACGCAGCACTGGACTTGCCAGAAACAACAAAGACTGTTAAAGCTGCCTGGATCAAGTTATTTACATATAATAAACATACATAAAAAGCTGTACTCTAAACCCGTATTAATTTTTTATTTGCCATGAAACAAACAAAAATTGGATAAGGGCTGAGGTGATTTTGACTGTTAAGACTGTTTCCATGAAAGTAGTTCTTATGACACATTGTATTTCAAGTCTTCCTAACTAATATAATAGCTTTGATTGAGGAACAGGCTGAATTTTTGGTAGTTATATTCCTGAACCTCACTGGGAAATTTCATTGGGACACATCTTGAGATCCAATAAACGTGTCTTGTGTGTTACAACTAAATGTGAATGAGCTGCAGCAGAGGGGAAGATTTTCAGCGACCTACATTTTGGTCAGTTTTTCTCGCAAAGCAAACATATGATTCAAAATATAGCACATGAGTCATATGAACCACTTTTACAGTGCTATTCATGGTGCTTAACAGCCATGATCACCATGAAATGTTGTTGTATGCAAAATAATTTGCTGTTGTGCTCAATGGAAAAAAAACAGCATATGGGTTGGGAACGACATAGAAGTACAAATAATGACAGAATTTTCATTTTGGGGTGAACATATTTCAATAAAATATTTTAATGAAAATGTCTGTCCTTTATTTTATGTAGCACCAATTTTATGTAAGCAATGAGAGGCTTAAGGCTTTGCTATACTGTATTCAATATAGTGCCTTATATTGCTTAATAGGGATTGGGTTACAGTAAGTCTGCAGTAATTATAATAATAAAATTGAAGTCAATGGGAAGTACCATTTAACTAGTTAAATGTGTGTGTGCTTGTGTGTGTGTGTGTGTGTGAGAGAGAGAGAGAAGAGAGAGAGAGAGATGTTAAAGGGACTGTGATAATTTCACATTATCAAACACAAAGTGAGTATGACAACACAAGCAGCATGAATCTAGCAATGGACATAAGCATCCTTTCATTTTTCATGCACATCATCTCAGTTGCGAGGATCTTCTCTCCACTCAAACTTGCTGTCCAACGCAGCACTGCACTTGCCAGAAACAACAAAGACTGTTAAAGCTGCCTGGATCAAGTTATTTACATATAATAAACATACATAAAAAGCTGTACTCTAAACCCGTATTAATTTTTTATTTGCCATGAAACAAACAAAAATTGGATAAGGGCTGAGGTGATTTTGACTGTTAAGACTGTTTCCGTGAAAGTAGTTCTTATGACACATTGTATTTCAAGTCTTCCTAACTAATATAATAGCTTTGATTGAGGAACAGGCTGAATTTTTGGTAGTTATATTCCTGAACCTCACTGGGAAATTTCATTGGGACACATCTTGAGATCCAATAAAGGTGTCTTGTGTGTTACAACTAAATGTGAATGAGCTGCAGCAGAGGGGAAGATTTTCAGCGACTTACATTTTGGTCAGTTTTTCTCGCAAAGCAAACATATGATTCAAAATATAGCACATGAGTCATATGAACCACTTTTACAGTGCTATTCATGGTGCTTAACAGCCATGATCACCATGAAATGTTGTTGTATGCAAAATAATTTGCTGTTGTGCTCAATGGAAAAAAAACAGCATATGGGTTGGGAACGACATAGAAGTACAAATAATGACAGAATTTTCATTTTGGGGTGAACATATTTCAATAAAATATTTTAATGAAAATGTCTGTCCTTTATTTTATGTAGCACCAATTTTATGTAAGCAATGAGAGGCTTAAGGCTTTGCTATACTGTATTCAATATAGTGCCTTATATTGCTTAATAGGGATTGGGTTACAGTAAGTCTGCAGTAATTATAATAATAAAATTGAAGTCAATGGGAAGTACCATTTAACTAGTTAAATGTGTGTGTGCTTGTGTGTGTGTGTGTGTGTGAGAGAGAGAGAGAAGAGAGAGAGAGAGATGTTAAAGGGACTGTGATAATTTCACATTATCAAACACAAAGTGAGAAAACCAAAGAAAGAAAGTGGATAAATGCTGTAAGGGATGAAACAGCTTTTACCCATCCAGCGTGATGTTCACTGTCTGTCATCACAAATGCGGAGGGTGAAACACACACACACTACACACTAACCGTGGAGTTGAAGCGCAGGTGGCAGATATTGCATGAGATGACCTGTTTTTTCTTCAGGGACTGAGGAACACCAAATGTATGGTTTATCACAGCCTTCTGCACCGGGTCCATCTGAGGGAGGGGTGAGAAAATTAAGTTAAAATGAACTGAAGAAAAAAAAAAAATACAATCACTTCGAATCAACAGACTCACTATCTGCTCATTCAAACACATTCCTTCCATCCCAGCGGCAACCCTGAACCTGACGCCTGGGGCCGAGGGACTTTCCCTTGACACCCCTTGCCATGGGAACACACACCACATCACAATGACTCTGCAGCTGGTCGCACGTCTATTTGTTTTAGAGCCTCAAGAATGTCCTTGTTGTTCATCCGCAGTCATCCCTGACTGGCTAGGACGCTGCCAGGTCAATGTGTGTGTGTCAGTGAGTGTATGTGTCTGATGAAGCCGCCTGTTGTTGACTCTGAGTACTGGAGAGGGTCAGGAGATGGTGGAGCATGATATTAATGCAGGAATGAAGGAGATGATGAGATGAAATGAGACAAGAGATGATGACACCATAGAGAAGTGATGAGAGAAGAGAGAAGATATGATGAGCAGAGCAGAAGACAAAAGAAACAGTAAAAAGATGAGAACAGATAACAAAAGACAAGAGGAAAATACATGAGATGAGCAGAGAAATAATGCAATAAAAAGATGAGAAATAAGATGAGATGAGAAAAGATGAGACGAGAAGGAGCAGTGAAAACAAAAGAAGAGATGAAACAAGAAGAAATGAGAAGAAACAAGCACAGAAGAGACAAGAAGAGAAAGATGCGGCAAGAAGAGATGAGATAAGATGAGCCAAGATAAAGGGTCTAGCAGTAAAATCAAAAGAAAAGAAGCAAGAAGAGATGAAAAGAGACAAAAAAGAAATGATGAGACAAGAAGCAAAGCAGTAAATTCCAGAGAAGTGAGGAAAAAAGAGAAATGAACAGATGGGATGAGATGAAGCAACACAAACTAGGAACAGAAGACAATGAGGAGACGTGGAGAGAAGACAAAATCATTAGAAGATGAGACAGGAGACGACACATCATGAGACGAAAAGTAGAGACAATAGGAAGACAATAAAAGATGAGAAGAGGAGCAATAAAAACGAAAGAAAAAAAAAAAAGAGACGATGAGACAACACAAGATGCGAAGAGAAGAGAGGAGACAGAGAAAGAGAAGACAAAACCATCAGAAGATGAGACAAGATAAGACACATCATGAAAAGTATTGAATCAATAGGGAGACAATAGCTATGTTTCCATCCAAAGATACGAATTAAACTTATGAGCAAAATTGGAATACCGCATAAAACATTTGCAAATAAAGCACAGTTTCCCTCCAGTGAGTTGAAAAGAACAAAATCGTCACTTCCTGATTAACTCTTGCTAAATATCACGAAGAAAAATTTAATATGCTGCAGTTGGCACTGCATATAATCATTTTTGTATACAATAAATTACACACTTCAGAGTGCGCAGACGAAACGCGGTCATGTTATCTTATTTTCGGAGTCTGCTGTTTGGGAATGAAGTTGTGGGAGTTAATTATAACAAAGCACTTTGACGAGACTTTGCTCAAGCATATTAGAATGACAAAGCTAGCATTTCAGATGCTGTGCAATGAGATTTCATTCTGTCCCATTGCAAAGTCAAAGTTGCAAAGTTTTTGACGCGCATTAAGGAATTTATATTCGGTAAAAGTGTTTCCATCATAGTTTATGCGTTTTTCATAGTTCTTACCGGATAAGACATTTATCCTACTTAGTTAAGCGCATACATTTTAATGCACATTTTTAGAATTTATGCGCATCTTGGCGTTTCCATCCAGTGTTTTTTTTGTGATATCCCAAACTATGCATAAAAATAGGTGGATGAAAACCTAGTTAACATGAGATGAGATGAAGTGAGACAAAGCAGCTGTAAAGAGATGGCATGACACAAGAACAGAAAAGAAAAAATAAGACAAAAGCAGTAGTAAAGAGAAAAAGAGAGAAAAACAGAGCAGAGGAGACTTGAAGAGCAGAGACAAGAAGAACAGAGAAGAGATAAGCATACTAAAGCAGCAGTAGAGAGAAGAGAAGAGGAGAGGAGCAGTAAGGAAAGCAAAGGAAAGCAGTGGAGGATAAGAGAGGAGAGAGGTCACTGACAGCTACTTTGCTGTTGAGACAGGTGCATTTTTCACTGTAGTACACACTCACACACACACACACACACACACACACACTGATCTGAGAGTAAAGAGAACCAGCACCTGACTATATATTAACAGTGCATATATGCGATAAAGACGTGCCCTTGGTGTAGACCAACATTGTACTCACGAACATAACCCATAGAGTGTGGGTGTGTGTGTGTGTGAGAGTGTGTCCAGAATGCGGATATCAGAAGAAAGAGAACCCTGTTACACACATACTGCCTCCAAAACTGTGCTCAGAGAGTCTGAAACTAAATCTAGATCCTAATCTGAGCCGCTGCTCAAGTCTTAAATCTAAAATTACTATCTAACACAATACACCTCTGTTTAGCGGCCCTTTTTGCAAACATTCTGCACTTTTAAAAATACCCTGCAGTCTGCGGAATCATTCCTGACATTTAGAGCTGACATTTGGGACCCAGCGCGATGCCTTTAAAATGTTCCGAGTTAACTTTAAATGATGACACATTTGGGAAGGTGAGGTGTAGGAAATAGAACCAAGAGTGCTGATGAACTCACAGTGTTGAAGTTGGGGAACAGGTTGAGGGGGGAGGAGCCACTGAGCCGGAAGGGCAGGAAGTTTTTCAGGTCCAGAGGGGTCTGCAGCAGGCGACCCTGCACCGGTAATGAGGCCAGCAGGGGGCTCCCATGAGCAGCCGTACCTGAGAAGAGCAACAACAACAACCAACACATATAAGAGAAAAACGCCACTGTTCAGACCAAGGACAGGAGAGTATTTAAATCAAGCAATTAGTGCACAAACACCATGATCAATGAAGAGAAGGGAGATACTTAATAACAGTCAGACAGTTCAGTGAACCAGGATCGAATGAGTTTTAAACCATCATTATTCTGACACACACACACACACACACACACACACACACACACACACACACACACACACACACAAAAACATTGACTGCTCTGATTACAATTATTGTTCTATCTATTCAGAATTCATTGTTAATATTGCATGAAAAAAAAAATCAGCCTGAAAGGATCTCATGAGATTGTTTGAAAGTGCATCAAGATCGAGAGTGAAATGTAGTCATGACTGTTTTTAAGGTTTTAAAAATTCACAAAGACAATGCAAGTAAATTAATTCATAACTCGATATAAGTATATTCACTACTGGCTTTTCTCTTTTTAAAATCAAATTATATAACTTTATAGGCCTGGAAATCACAATTTAAAAATTCCCTTCAATATATTTCCATTTTTTTCATGATTGTGGGGACCCTGGCCTAACCCTACAAATAACACTCTCTACAAATATAGTAAATCCTGAATGGATAGTTGACAAAAACATGTTTATGAACCTATACCTATGAACGATAAGACTGTAGGTTACAATATATATAATTAATATAAATATATATACTTTACACAAAAGTGTGCATTACAGATGCATACTCTGCAAAAAGTTTTGCACTTTTATAGTGAATATCATTCCAACACTTCAGACAAAAACTCTTTAAAGCACATAAACACATTGTAAACCAGCTGGAACATGGACATATTAGCATACAGATACAGATTGTGACTGAGCAAGATTGCTACATTATATTTTAAGAATACTATTATTATTAGCTTTGCTGGTCCTATTGCTCTTCAGATTGTTTTATAACCACATGAGTGTTTGTAAGGATAAATAATTAATAAATATATTGAGAAAAAAAAGAGAGAGAGGACTGATGCTTTCGACTCACAGAAGTGCAACATTAATCATAGCCCTGACAATTTATTAGAGCGAGTAAACACACAGCCAGCACCCCACCACACACACGCACGCGCACACACACACACACACACGCGCGGGCACACGCACACGCACGCACACACACACACACACACGCGCGGGCACACGCACACGCACGCACACACACACACACACACGCGCGGGCACACGCACACACACACGCACACACACACACACACACACACACACACACAGATATGCTCAAATGTCAGGATTAGGCCTTAGTGTACAAAATTCATATAATGCCAAACGAAGTGTCAAAAATATCATCTACTTAGCCTCATGTCTTTCCAAATCTGTGTGATTTTTCCATCTTCCGTGGGACATAAAAAGAGAAGTTTAGCAGAATGTTCATGCTGTTGTTTTTTTATACAATGAAAGTGAATAGTGACCAAGTGACTCTATATTCAAAGTCTCCTGAAGCCATCCTAAAATTTTGTGTAAAAAAATTCCAAAATTTAGACAATTTAAACCCACTGATAATGTCCGCTCCTCTTAATATATATATAAATAAATGTTTAAATACTAAATAGCTAAAACTCAAATAAAAATAAAGGTACATGGAAATGCTTAAAATGACAAAAGCACTTAACAAAATTACTAAAACTTAAACCAAAAATTAAAATAAATTCAAAACATTAAAGAACTTTGTATATACTATTACATAATACTAAAATAACACTGGTCTGATGTCACTGAAGCCAAATATCATTGTTTCTTGCATACCTCATAACTGATCACAACACAAAATCTGGATACGTGCATGATTACCGGAGAATAGAGATTATCAGAGAATAACTGCTTACATTTATATTAGAATATAGATGATATCAAGTTCTACAGACTACTAGCCAATGCACAGAAAAAAGCCTGCCTAACATCCCTTTTTGTTTCAAGGAAGATAAAAAGTCCAGTGGGTTTGGAACGATATGAGAGCGAGTAAATGATCTCCATTGTTGGGTAAACTATCTCTTTAATTTCCTATTTCTTTAAAACTTACACACAAAGCACTTCAGAGATGTTTCAGTGAGGACACTTCAGTCCTAAAGCCTCATGCAACCTCATTCCATCACATTTTCACGTTCCAAAGAAATGTCTGGGTGACAGTGTGTAATCTAATTCAATGGAGCTCAAAATAAATGACCAGCACGCCCTGAAAAGGCAGACTTATTTTACAAGTGGTTATACGCACGCAATATTCAACCAGAAATACACACATCCACACAATGAACGTCACACACATGCTCTTGGCCTCAAACAGATAAAGCTTTGAATTCAGATGGTGCCACCAGTATATGCTGGTGTTTGAATGTAGTGGACCACAAAACACTGAGCAAAAAGAAAGACCAGATTTCCCTCCCCCCCTCTCTTTCCTGACAACATTTGAAAGGCGTAATTATGACTTCCAGAGAGCTGTAATTAGCAGAATCCGCTGCTCTTGCTTCTCTGTCTATCTCCCTCCCTCCATCTCTCTCTCTCCCTCTCAAACATAGCCACAAAATCAGTGCAGAGTCCAGCTGGCATCTCTCACTGTGTTTCTATGTCACATCACATATTCCTTCCTCATTTGCTCTTTTGTTTCAACACTCACTTCCTCACTCATCCATTTTATATATCTGAATATACAGTGGGTACGGAAAGTATTCAGACCCCCTTCAATTTTTCACTCTTTGTTATATTGCAGCCATTTGCCTCAAATGAAGGTGTAGAACCATCTCAAGGATGATCAGAAGAAATGGACAGCACCTGAGTTAAATATATGAGTGTCACAGCAAAGGGTCTGAATACTTAGGACCATGTGATATTTCAGTTTTTCTTTTTTAATAAATCTGCAAAAATGTCAGCAATTCTGTGTTTTTCTGTCAATATGGGGTGCTGTGTGTACATTAATGAGGAAAAAAAATTAACTTAAATGATTTTAGCAAATGGCTGCAATATAACAAAGAGTGAAAAATTGAAGGGGGTCTGAATACTTTCCGTACCCACTGTAAATGCTTGTGCACAGACTACCATTCAAAGGTCTGGGGTTGGTAATGTTTTTTAAATAATTATCTTATGCTCTCCAAGGCTGCAATTATTTCATCAAAATACAGTAAAAACAGTTAAAGTGTGAATCATTGTTAAAATTTAAAACGACTATTTTACTTTTTTAATATAATGTTAAAATGTAATTTATTCCTGTTATAACAAAGCTAAATTTTCAACAGCCATTACTCCGGTCTTCAGTGTCACATGATCCTTCAGAAATCATTCTGATATGATGATTTGATGCTTAAGTAACATTTCTAATTAATATCAATGGGGATTTACAATGTGCTGCTTAATATTTTTGTGGAATTTTTTTATGTACATAGAAGTACAAAAGTAACAATATTTATACAACAACAGAACAAACAGAACAAAACAAAACAACAGAACAAAAGTATACATTTCTTCTAAAAAAATCTTACTGACTTCAGACTTTTGCAAGATATTGTATACAGTGGGATCCTGCATTTGAACTGCATATATGCCACATATTTGCATCATCCATCAAGAGTTGAGATGATCCAAGAGGCATCTTGAGCTTTAATAAAAGCAATAACATCTGACTGTCTGTACAGTGTCACATTATCAATGTCAAAAATGTACTTTAATTACGGTCACAGAAATATAATACAAAATATGAAATATGCTTGTTTCTTTTCATAGCAAAACACTCCTTTATTTTTTTTTTCTCAAAAACTTCAAAATTTTGTTTATTTCCAGAATTTCAAATGTGGCTTTTGGACCCCACTGCACATGTTTTTTAATATGTTTACATGTGAAAGTTTGTACAAATGTGTGTGTGCTTTTTGGAAGGCATTGCCGACATCCCTCTTTCCGTTTACATAACGCACAAGCCTACAGCATGTACCGCACACACAACCTAAGCTCAGTGTCGCACACTCCCAAACAAACCCTGCGGCAGCAAACCCTGCCTGAGACGAAACCGAGGGTGACAGGCATGTGCATGTGTGTTTGTGTGCATGCACATGTATATTGCATTTTATTTGTGCTTTCCTATTTGTATGTGTCTGTGATGCGAGAGAATGTGACAAAGAGAGAGCTGCATTCTGTGCTGTTGAGACGAGCACATAGTGTTTAGCTGCAGTGTGTGTGTCAGGTCGCACCGAAGCTCTTTAATAAACACACAAAAATTCAGCTCGGGCCTGGTCAGTCCAGCAGAACCAGCTCAGACGGTGCAGGGTTGGACCAGAGATCTGCTGATGTTCGGCTCCTCAGTGGTGACCAGATGGTTACAAGATGTTTGCTATTTGATAAAGAACCACATTTGGATATCTTGGTGGCTTTCTAAATAACTGATGACCAAGTATATTAGTGGCAGACCAATATAGCATCTAAGATAATTAGGCTATGAGCCAATAATTACCATTTAGATATTATCAGCACTTGCCTGCTCGGCAAGTGTATATTTAGCATTTCAAAAAATAAATTGTGAGCAAATTTTTAGTCAATAATATTATTTTCACATATTAAAATATCATAATATGTCATATTTATTATTATAAAATCATTATGATATACAGTATATAATATTAAAGGGGTCATATGATGTTGCTAAAAAGAACATTATTTTGTGTATTTGGTGTAATGAAATGTGTTTATGCAGTTTAAGGTTCAAAAAACATTATTTTCCACATACTGTACATTATTGTTTCTCCTCTATGCCCCGCCTTTCTGAAACGCGTCAATTTTTACAAAGTTCATCGGTCTGAAAAGCGAGGTGTGCTGTGATTGGCTAGCTATCCAGCGCGTTGTGATTGGCTGAATACCTCAAGCGTGTGACGGAAATGTTACGCCCCTTACCATACTGTGATGCCCTGTCAGGCCGGAGCGACGATTCAAAAACATGAAAAC